AGGAGATGGATCTGACAAGAATACAGTCTGTGAGTGGGAAGAGTTAATGGGAGTGTATTTCAGGAAACGAGCCACACCTCTGAGAGAACAGCACATTGAGATAATGTCTAAGTTAATGGGCAAGGCTAAAGACATAGTGAGGATAACTCTGAGGAGCTGCCCATCCATGAAGCCTCAAGATAACCCACAATTGATCTATGACATCCTCAGACAACACTTTAGTGATGTGACCTATTCATGTATGCCCATGGCTGATTTCTACAGTACAGTTCCAGTGGCAGGAGAGTCCCCCGTAGAGTACTGGCTTCGGCTAAACAAGGCAGTTGATGCAGCGGAGGAGGGCTTGAAGAGGCTAGGGCGGAAGATGGAGGATTCTTGTCAGGAAGTAGCGATGATGTTTGTCAAATACTGCCCAGATCCCACCCTTGCTGCTGTTTTCAAGTTTAAGGCACCAGATAAGTGGACAGCTAGTGAAATCCAAGAGCATATTGATCGCTACCACACTGAAATGAAAGAACAGGTGCTTTCCAAATCAAAGAGAGTTAAACCAGTGACAGTTCATGTCCAGGTTTCCGCACCTGACGTTTCAGAGATAGTATGTCACCCACGGGAGCCATCTATGCAAGGTGAGGACAGCACAGCATCCAAGCCCTCTTGTAATGATGACTGTATGAAAATGTTAGTCAGTTTATTTGACAGAGCATTGTCACAGAACAACCAGGTTACACACAAACCACTCCCCTCTGATCCATTTCAACCGAAAGCCTGCAGGGTCTGCCAGTCTCTAGATCATTCCACCCTTGCACACTGCAGGCAGAAACGCCTCTGCTTAGTGTGCTTCGAGCCAAACCACATCAAGAAGAACTGTCCTAACCGTCAGGCTGGCCGAGGTTCTCCGGCTTTCCCGCCACAGAATTCTCAACCTTTAAACTAACTGGCCCGCATTTAGTGAGGGAATGTGTGGGAAACAGAGAAGAAACCCTTAACAGTGGTGATATTGAAACTCATTATATAAAAGCATGCGCAGCAGCACCAGCCGATGCTAAGGTAATAGTGCAAAATACACAGAGAGTGGGCCCTTTTGATGAGTTGTTTTACACCCCTGTTAGCATTAACAACACATTTCAGGTGCAGGGGATGCTTGACTCTGGTTCCATGGCTTGTACTCTCAGCGAGCAGGCAGAGCAGAAGATGTTGAGTGAGAATATACTCTCAGAATCCATTCCTTTGACTCAAGAGATTGTGCTAATAGGCTGTGGAGGGACACTTAGCAAACCCAAGTGTATGTACGAAGTGGAAATGAAACTGTATGGGGAGAGCTGTATCGTACCTGTCCTTGTGGTGCCTGGCCAACGAGATGACTTAATCATAGGCACAAATGTCATCAGATTTATCATGCATCAGCTGAAAATAACCAGTGACTATTGGCGCCTGGTTTCCAGTGGAAATCTTCTCCCAGAGTGTGAACAGTTCCTTGATCTCATGGCAAACTCATCCAGGTGGAGAGGCGAGGAGCTTCCAGACAGAATCGGGACCGTTAAACTCCAGCATGCGGTTACGCTGTTGGCTAAGAAAGAACATCTTGTTTGGGGTAAGTTGCCAAATAACGCTCCCATGTCTCCAGGCAGCACAGTAATAGTTGAGCCCACCTCATCCAAGTGCATGCCTCGTAACATCATGATCGGTCGTGTTATTACACCATTGTGGGGTGACAGATGGATCCCAATGAAAGTCACAAACGTGTCAGACAAGCCTATCACCCTGAAAAGAAACAGCAAGTTGGCCGACGTGTTCCCCTGTCTAGCTGTTGAAGAGTTTGAGGTTTTTCAAGGTACCAGCCAACTCAACAACGTTAAGGAGGAGGAAAGTCATGGCAAGGCTAAACCTACAGATTTCAAGCAGCGACTACAACAGGTTGGACTGACTGAGGTTGATATCGATCAGTGCCAGGCTGGCCAAGGAGGAAAGAAGAGGTTGGTCGCGCTGCTTGAAAAGTACAATGACATTTTCTCCAAACATGCTCTGGACTGCGGTGAGGCAGAGGGCTTCATGCACCGCATCAGGCTCACTGATGAGAGACCATTCCGTCTCCCTTACCGGCGGGTGCCACCAGCCCATTACCAGAAACTGCGACAGGTCCTTTCAGAAATGGAAGAACAGGAGATCATCAGGAAGTCAGTAAGTGATTATGCCTCTCCCCTTGTACTTGTGTGGAAAAAAGATGGCAGTTTGAGACTCTGCACAGACTTCAGGTGGCTGAATGCAAGGACGCTCAAGGATGCGCACCCATTACCACACCAGTCAGACTGCTTGGCTTCCCTGGGTGGGAACACCTCAGCACAATGGATCTGACCTCTGGCTTCTATAACATCCCAATGGCAGAGGAGGACAAGAAATACACTGCATTCACTACTCCAATGGGACTGTATGAATTCAACAGGATGCCCCAAGGTTTGTGCAACAGTCCTGCCTCATTCATGCGCATGATGCTCAGCATATTTGGAGACCTGAACTTCAGCAGTTTGCTGTGTTATCTTGATGATCTGCTTGTGTTTGCTGCAACTGAAGAAGAGGCGTTGGAGAGGCTGGAGGTTGTTTTTCAGCGGCTCAGGCTTCACAACCTTAAACTGAGTCCAAAGAAATGCCACCTGATGAGATCTTCAGTCAAGTTCCTAGGTCACATTATAGATGGTAATGGAGTGGCTATGGATCCAGCAAAAGTTGAGGTCATATCAAAAATGTCAAAGTTGGACCTGATGGAAGACGATGGTTGCACACCATCAGTAAAGAGGATAAAGTCTTTTCTGGGGATGGTGTTCTACTATCAACATTTTATCTCTAACTGTTCTGCTATGGCCAAGCCACTGTTTGCTCTTACTGCAGGCCAAAAGAGACGAGGGAGAGTCAAACTAAACTCCAATACCGGCTCCTTCAGGAAACTGAAACCCTCTGATTGGACAGAGGAATGTGATGCGGCTCTTTGTAATCTGAAAGACAGTCTCTTGAGCTACGTCGTCCTCTCACACCCAGATTTCTCTCGCCCTCTGATTCTATCTATTGATGCCTCTCTGGACGGGCTAGGGGCCGTGCTATCACAGATACCAGCTGGTGAAGAGAAAGCACGTCCCATTGCATTTGCAAGTAAGACTCTCAGTGGCTTTCAGAAGAGATATCCCGCCCATAGGCTTGAGTTTCTGGCCCTGAAATGGAGTGTGTGTGAAAAATTTAGCCATTGGTTAAAAGGCCATGAATTTACAGTATGGACTGATAATAACCCTCTTACCTACATCCTGACGAAACCGAAGCTTGATGCGTGCGAACAGCGCTGGGTGTCTAGGCTCGCTCCTTACACATTCGACCTGAGACATATACCTGGCACCAAGAACATAGTGGCTGATGCTCTCAGCAGAGATCATTTCGCAAGATCAGTAAGCCACAGGCTCATCACAGAGCAGTACAGTCACCTTCTTGCTGAAGCCGAGGGTGTTAGTCACGACGGCATTCAAGACACTTTCCGACTCAAAGTCCAGTGTCAGCAGATGAAGAAGTTACCTGGTGGCAGCATTAAGTCTCAATCTGACCCCCTCATGTGTCACAGTGATTCTGTAGCTGTCAAGGCTCTTTTAGATGTTCATGCTCAGTGGGAGATTGCTGCCGAGACGAGAGCTGTGGAGTTGGCTCAGACTGTCCAGGATCTGTTGCTGCCGGGCCAAGACTCCCTTCCTGTGTTCTCGTTAGAGGAACTCAAGCACAGTCAGGAATTTGATCTCATTATTTCAAAACTCCTACCATTTGTGCTTCGCAACCGCCGTCCTTCCAGACGTGAACGATCAGGACTAGATGCCAAAGTTATGGTTCTCATCAAACAATGGGAGAGACTGAAGGTTCAGAATGGTGTCCTCTATCGGGTCACCAAGGATAATTTCAGTAAACAAAAGAGGCATCAGTATGTTCTGCCTGACAGTCTTAAAGAAAAAGCATTACATGGCATTCATGATGTTGCTGGGCATCAGGGACAGGCTAGGACCTTGCATCTAGCAAGACAGCGGTTCTTTTGGCCGAAGATGGAGTCTGATGTCAAAGAGTATGTCAAATGCTGTCAAAGGTGCATTCTGGCGAAGACACCAGAACCCTCGGCTCGAGCCCCACTTGAAAGCATCAGGACGTCTGCCCCCATGGAGTTAGTGTGCATAGACTTCTGGAGTGCGGAGGATAGTAAGCAGCACTCAGTGGATGTTCTTGTCTTGACAGACCACTTCACAAAGCTAGCCCACGCTTTTCCATGCACTAATCAGACTGCAAAACAGGTCGCCAAGAAGCTGTGGGATCACGTGTTTTGTGTGTATGGCTTTCCAGAGCGTGTTCACTCCGATCAGGGAGCTAATTTTGAGAGTGAGCTCATAGCAGAATTGCTCAAACTTTCCGGAGTCTCCAAATCACACACTACTGCATACCATCCAATGGGAAATGGAGGAACAGAAAGATTCAATCGAACACTTGGGAATATGCTGCGGTCTCTCTCTCTAAAAGAGAAACACAAGTGGCCTCAACAGATACAAGCTCTGACTTTTGCATATAATGCAACAGTACATGAAACAACAGGATATGCACCGTTCCAGCTTATGTTCGGCAGAACCCCGAGGCTCCCTGTGGATGTGATGTTCAAGCAAGTGTTGCATGATCCAGTGGTTGTTGATTACAAAAGCTATGCCAAAACGCTCATGTCACATCTTCATGAAGCAGTAAGAATTGCCCAAGAACACAGCATCAAAGAACAGGACAAACAAGCAAGTGGTTACAACAGAAAAGTGAGAGGCATTCACCTGAACTTAGGGGACAGAGTGCTCATTGCAAACAAAGGTGAGAGAGGAAAGAAGAAACTGGCTGACAAATGGAGTGCAATTGTGTACACAGTTAAAGACAGAAACCTGCAGACACACACATACAAGCTGGTGGACAGTAGTGGAAACACTAAGATAGTTCATCGAAACCCTGGTCTTAGACATCAGCTTTTTGCCTGTGGTGACAACTGGAGAAGAATTGTGTGATACTGAAGTGGAGGAAAGGTCGTATACGACTGATTCCCTGGACTCTTTGGAGGAGGAGGAGGATTCAAGAGGCAGGACCAGTACGTGGATAATGAGTGGATCAGAGGAAACCCGGAGTCAAATGATTATGAGTGAACGATCGTCTGAGGTGGATCAGTCAAGTCAGGGCATTCCAGAAGTGGACTGGTCTGCAGATGGTCCAATTCAGTGCTTCCCAAATGACCAGAACCGGTCCAGCAGAGACACTAACTTCGACAGTTTAGTTGCAGGGGCTGACTCAGACTCATCATTCATGTCACATGTACATTCAGGACACCTAAACACTCAGTCACATCCTGCAGACACAGGTCATGTCACAGTTACACAGGTACAATCGACAGTAGAAACTGAACCTGTAGTCAGGACAAGGGCAGGCAGGGTTAGCAAAAGAATCAATCGACTCATTGAGTCCATGGTCCAAAAGCCTTTTGATTTAAGGGGTTTTGTGAGTTCAGTTAACAAGAGATCTCAGTCACTACTTACACTGTTTTAAAGTGACAAGCTTGTAGTTTTTTGTTTTTGTTTGTACCTCTGATCTGGTAAATATGCCTTTTTAAGGGACAATGTCTAATGTATGTGTTTTGTGTAATATGTTACATGTTTGAGAGTAGCAGGGAGTTGTATGGTGTACAAGGCATCATATTAATCTAGGAGGGACTAAGGCTTGATCTCCCTTATGTTTTCTCTGAACCTATATAGTAGGTGGCTTTTACAGCCGATGGTAAAGCTAAGAGTTTTTCAGTTAACCCTGCACAAGTTTGATGTCAGTTGTCTTGGAGGTCAGAATGGTTTATTCAGAGGTACACTATGGTCTGGATTTTTGCGAAATATAGGAGGGGTGTATGTAACCAATGTATAACTTCACTTGTTTATATTTCAGTAAAATCATTGTCCATACTTTATTTGTAAAACTTGTCACTGTCACTTTATTTTTTAGATGCTTTTATTTTGAAAAGTACGTTTTATTTTGGTACTCATGGCACCGGCACATTTCTGCAGACTCGCGCTACTTTCCTCAGTTAGCTTCAGGCCCCACTGAGGAGAAGTAAGTGGAACGAGTGGTGTCATAAATGTTGTATTTTATATGTTAATAGATTGTTTAATGTTACACTTCACACAAGCCAAACCTATTTGCAGTTAATATCTATATTTTGCCGTGTGTGACTGTAGTGTATATAATGTGCAGCGCTTCAAACAGTGTTTGGGAGCTTTCTAAAGTTTAGCTATATGCTAACCTAACATGTGCGTGTTTTCTTCCACAGAAGGTGTGAAGTTAGAAAGCTGATGAAGCCATTTCCTGCTTTAATTATTATATTCTGTTTTGCACAGGTATGTGGGTATTCTTTTTGTATTTTGTAACTGTAAATTGTATTGTTTGTTATGTAAGTGTAAATTAATGGTTATATTTGTGTATATTGGTTTACAAGGAAAAACTGGTTTGCCACCATGGATAGATGTATATCTGTTAATTGTATTATTTAGAACTCTGTATACTTTCCTGAGTTAGCTTCAGGCCCCACTGAGGAGAAGTGTGAAGTTAGAAAGCTGATGAAGCCATTTCCTGCTTTAATTATTATATTCTGTTTTGCACAGAGAATAAATCCTGGTTGGCAAGAAAGAAGTCGTTCTCATTTACACAACATAACACAACGCAGAGATCACATGTGGCGTCAAACCAGACCGGTTACACCAACACTGAGTTATCTCTAACTCTCCACTACAGGGGTGGCCAACCAGTCAGAGGTTAAGAGCCACATTTTTTCTATGTTACTACAAAGAGCCACATCAAACACACAGTCACTGATACTGCTTGTTTCCGTTTTTTGTTTTCTGGAGACAAGATTTCAACCACGTCACTGATGCGTTTTTGTGGCATTGGGATATATATTTTTTAAATCCTCTGGAGCAGAGAGAGGAGCTTATTGTTATTGATTAATGCATCAGTGTTTCTTAGGGTCAAAAACACTAAACTCACAACTTAAAATGAAAGCGTTTAGTTTATTTAATAAAAGAGCACATGTTCAATGTGAAAAGTGACAGTAGTTATAGATTATTTGCAATTTGGTGCTATATATATATTTAAAAATAAAATGATATATATATATTTTTTAAAACACCTTGAATATCAGGGGGGGAGGCGGGGAGGCGGGGCTCCATTGGCGGGGCGCAGCGCCCCTCCAAGACAATGGTAGGGGAAACACTAGATAATGTTTAATCAACGATAGGTTTCCCCCCCCTCAAAGGTGATTGGTTCACTGCATCGCAGGTATTATTGTGATTGGCTCTTGGGCCACATCAAAATTATACGCGCTGTCATCCTCTCATACTGACACCACACATACACAACATACATAACACGGGACGAAAGTAACGGAGCGATTTTATCCGAGCCTAAACAACTTTGACCGGCCAAATTACGTCAGAATTATCAGCATTCAATACTTAACAGACCTACTAAATATCAGGTTTAACTGTCAGGAGTAGCTAGTGTTGTGACGATACCAACATTTTGGTTTCGATACCAAGTCAAGAATTGCGATTCCGATTCTTTTTCGATACTTTTCTTAAAAAAAGGGAAACAGTCTTAAATGTAATTATTGTGCTTTATTTCACACCAGAACCATAACCATAACACAAACTTTTAAACAATGAGAACAATAAATAAAATAAATGACAAGAATTCGTATTAAATAAAATTAATAAATGTCTTACAGACAGGCCTCGTGGTGTCCGTAGGCTTGCCCTCACTGTCAGAGATATAGCTCAAATACTTCCAAATTTCGCTTCTGGCGTCTTTTTTGTCAACAAGCCGAGGCGCAGCGGCAGTTGCACTCCCACTTGCAACCATGCTTCTCGTTTTCTCACATGCTCTGGCAGCTAGCGCGTGCACGAGAGAGGGGAGGCACGTAGAGCGTGCTTGAGAGGGGAGGGACTTAGAGCGTGCTTGAGAGGGGCGGGACTGCAGGCACGGTGCAGGGAGTGGAAGCAGAGCGCTGAACACACACGGCTCTTATTAAAACGGCGCTTTCTCACCGGAGTACTTTCCCCCGTCATTCTTAAAGTACCGATACTAATGAAACGGAGGAATCGTAACGTTTTTAACGGCAGGGTATCGCGGTACCTTTCAAGTATCGGTACACCGTGCAACACTAGTCAGGAGTCAGTGTCTCTCCCCCAAATTCACACATATAAAATTCGATATGAACTGAAGAGCCGCATGAAACTAGGCAAAGAGCCGCATGCGGCTCGAGAGCCGCGGGTTGGCCACCCCTGCTCCACTACAATATTCTTCTTCTTCTTCTTCTTCTTCTTCTTATTACTACTATTATTATTATATATGTAATATCTTTCACTTTTTTCACTTTTCATTTTTCAAATGAGGGTGCATAACGACTCAACTGAGGGTGCACTGCACCCTTATGCAACCCTGTAGAACCGGGCCTGGTGTGTTAAAAAGCTGGATAACATTTACATTATAGGAGGGCTTAAAATGTTTGAATTAAGTCCAACATTATAGTCGTATTTGCATAGATTTGTTTGGGTTTGACTCGGCAAAACCTCTCAGTATGAAGTTAATAACATAAGTAAAACGTCAGGGTTCAAAGTTCATGCTCTTTAAGAAATAAATAACTTGGTATACATCCATGGTCCAGTCAGGCTAGATAACAGCACAGTTTATCCACACACATGGATCTGACAGCAGAACGCCACAGTGTCCCTCTCAGTGACGGGAACCATATCCCACTGCTGGGATTGGGCACCTATGGAGACCCTCGAACGGTAAGAAGGATATGATATGTGTGTTTCTAGATCTATTTTACTAATGACAGCTTCACCAAAAGGACTCTCTATAATGCAGGAGTTTTTTTCTTGTAATGATTAGATCATGTTTAACAGAGAAATGTCAACACAAAGTGCAGCGCGAATCAATCGAATAATGAGTCGGGTCAAATAATGTATTCATTTTATTTTGATTTACAATAGACACCCAGAGGCACAGCACTTGAGTGTGTCAAGCTGGCCATAGATGTGGGTTACAGGCACTTCGATGGAGCATTGGTGTATTTCAATGAGCATGAAGTTGGTCAAGCCATTAGAGAGAAGATTGCTGATGGAACCGTTCAAAGAAAGGACATATTTTACTGTGGGAAGGTAATACGATTTGTCATTCTTCATTCTTCAGTGGTGTTAACTATATTTCAATCTTGTATAACTAGTTCCATGTTACTTTTCTCAGCTCTGGAATACATTTCATCCACCAGAGTTGGTGAGACCAGCTTTGGAGAGGACACTGAAAGCCTTAAAACTAGACTATGTGGATCTCTACATTGTTGAACTCCCTATGGCCTTCAAGGTACACCATTTGATCTCAGTTCTTTTAACAACCAGCCCTTTAGTGTCTGAACATTGACCTAAGATGGTCACACTGGTAGTGTTTAGTTTAGATAATACTCTGATTTACTCTGTCAGGTTTGAAGAAGATAATATTAATATTATAACTATTTGAAATAAAAGATAATAGATCTAGAAAGTATGGCAACACACACAGCTGCATGCACAATTTAATGTTTATTTTTAGTTATATGCACTAGATAAGATGCCAACACAATTGTATCAAACTGTTATATTTATGCATTGTAGCTACATAACACGTGTCAAATGTGGCTCATGATTAGTTTAAGGTTACAGAAAAGATAAGACAGCCATGTCGAGTATGTTTGCTCATGAACTCAAACTATCTGGCCCAGTTTATAGTTGGTATAAATCAGATATGTGTTGAGATGTGAACTTAACCAAAGCTGAAGCCAACTGCACCACCACACTCCAACATTGTACTGAATATGCACAAATATAGACCAAAGCACTATTGTTTATGCATTGTATGTTAATGCAAAAATAATGAATTTTGCTTAAATATTAGCCTGGAAAAGAGTTCTATCCAGAAGACCAGGATGGAAAACACATCTACCACCACACAGACCTCTGTGCAACATGGGAGGTGAGTTCCATTCAATTCCCAATTTCTAAAATGCTTTCACATCCTGCATTGAAATGTCTGGATATGGTAGTTTCATGACAAGCCAAGCTTCATTCAAAGATCTGTTTTTTCAGCTCGGCTGTGCTTCATATGCGATTCAACTCTCTCAGTACGTCTGTAAAGATAATCACTATCAGTCAGAGGATGTAAATCTTTTTCTCCTCAACAGGCTTTAGAGGCTTGCAAAGACGCAGGGCTGGTGAAATCTCTGGGAGTCTCCAACTTCAACCGCAGACAGTTGGAGCTGCTGCTCAACAAACCTGGCCTCAAACACAGACCTGTATCCAACCAGGTGATCCACACTAGTGTTCAGACCCCCACTGACATCACAGAAAGCATAGTATTACAGTAGTAAATCAGTATGTATTATAGACCAGTGGTTCCCAACCTGGGGGGCGCGCCCCCCAGGTTTTTTTTTTTTTCCTTTTTTTTTTTTTTACATATAATTGTAAGGCAATACATGATTGTCACTAAAAGTCTTGTCTCTACATTACAATAAAATATAAAAAAGAATTGACTAATTAATTTTAATAAAAATTCAAGTTAGTATTAAAGGCATAAAAAGACAGAAATGTATAATTCTTTCTTTAATATAAATGTTTCTTCTGCCCATAAAGTGTCCAAACCAGGCTTGTCTAGATAAGCGCATTTTTAAAACATAGTCATTGTCCATGCCGGTTTCAGTTGGATTATTTGTCACAGTTGCTCCAATCAGATCGGTCTCCTCCATTTTGTAGATTATTTACGACTTTTGAATCCACATAAACACATCGGCAAAATCCGGCTTACTTTGAGCATGTGTTTTAAACAGTTTAATCCCTTTGTGAATTGTTTCCACTTGCGCCGTCCTTTAATTTCTTCATACAGCGGGAATCCAAATTAATTAATCCTGAGTCCAATAACCATCACTCCAATAGTGCTCCTTAATTACGCTTTCATCCTCCTTTAACAAAATACTTCACATTCATCCAGTTTGAGACAGTAGTTGTAGCATTTTCGAGACTTTTAAACTTGAATTACCGCTGTTGCGCCAAGCCCCCCCCCTAGTGTGTGTGTGTGTGGTGGGGGGGGGCGCAACTTCCAACAGGAGTCATTTGGGAGGGCTCTTGGGAAAAAAGGTTGGGAACCACTGTAGACCATAAACAAGAGGGAAGCTATATTTTAGATATACGCGAAAGATCCCAAATTGGACCAAGTGTAAGTAGCTGGTAGAGCTGTGTGTATTCTTTGGGTTACTTGTATAGTTTGTTTTGAACTCAACAAACCTAGATCTTGTCACAATAGTCAAAGACTATATCATAATTCATATTTCTTTAGCTTTATGGTGTTAAAATTAGTTAATATTTCCCCTCTATGCCCACTATTATTCTGGCTTGTAGCGCAAAGGGTGCTGATGTAATGTAACAGTTTTCTTCCTAAATTATATATTTTCTTCTCACTTACCTGTAGGTTGAATGTCATCCATATTTCACACAGCCCAAGCTTCTGGAGTACTGTCGTCAGAATGACATAGTGATTGTTGGCTACTGCCCAATTGGCTCCTCCAGAGATGCCTCCTGGTAAGATATATGCACTTTTCACTGAAAACTGGTGTTTTGTCATGTGTTGTTCCTTCTGGTACTGTATTCATACAGTATATGGATAACATTTGAGTTCAACAACACAATCGTAAAATGTAAGTAATACAACAAAATATCTCTGCCACGCGTCAGCATCGTTTAAACCAACAACATTATTTCTGTTACCAAACCATTAACACAGCGATGCGACACCTAAACACTTTGATAAACGTCTCTCTCCTGCTTTTGTATTTTCCTCCTTCTCTGGTTTAGGGTGAATGTGAAATGTCCTCCCCTGCTGGAGGACGAGCTGCTTGTATCCATTGGGAAAAAATACAAGAAGAGCACGGCTCAGGTGGCTCTGCGCTTCAACGCCCAGAGAGGAGTGGTCGTGATCCCCAAGAGCTTCAGCCCCGAGAGGATCAAACACAACTTCCAGGTGGGTTTAAATAAATACCTTTTCATATATACATATTTATATATAAGTTTTTGTCAGTACGACAAGTTATTATATTTATTTTATATAGTAATCTTAAATGTATTTATATTATTTCAGTAAAAAAAATCATTTATTTTTCTAGATATTTGACTTTTCACTCACTGCGGAGGAAATTAAAGCCATTGAGGCGCTGAACAAAAATATCCGCTTTGTGGAGCTGCTGATGTAAGTATAAGCTTTAAAAGAAGTATATATTTAAGTGCGAGTTGAACCTAAAACTAACTATATTATATATTGTGTTTTTCTGTCTAAATACTGTTTTCAAAAAGACAAACAAGTCCACATCATTATGCTCGGAAAGCAACTTTTTCGTTGTTTCAACACAGGTGGAGCGACCATCCAGAGTACCCATTTCATGATGATTATTAATATGATGAATGACTCTTTATAAAACAAAGTATTGACTGATTTTGATTTTCAGCATCTTTATTTCACCATTAAAGTCTGGTACATGTCAACAGTGAACACTAGAGGGCTCTAGCTCACAGTAAATGAAAAGCACAACATAGGATAACATTTAGCTCAGATGTTTGATGAGGTCAAGTTATCTCATGCAGAATTTGCTTAGGGTTTACATAATATAAAAACCAAAAAACATGTATTGTCACTTACAGCTGAATTGAAATAGACGCAGCGTCTGCTTTTAATAAGGTTTGGTTAAAAAATAAGACTATGTGGAAAGAATGTTGAACTGGTTTGCTGAAATATTGATAGAGGTTTGTCTTTACAACAGTTGGCTACAAATGGCCGAATGATCACTATACCAGTTTACAGGAACATTTCAAAACAATCCAAGTTGACCAAAGTCCTGTACCTTGTTCAAGGTAATGCTGTGTTAGAGCAAACAACACAGATATAGAACAGGTAGTTATGTTAGTCGAAGAGTAGAGAAAGTAGAAAAAAAGCTATTTACTGTAGGGGAACAAAGATTTCATCTGTGCCGAATCTCCAAAATAAAGAACATCAGTAGTTGTAACAAATTCAAATCTGTTTGTTTTGTTGTGCAACCCTGTGACAATGAATGATTATTGATTTCTTAGATATAGTGTAACTGGAAAGGGGAAACATTTGTGAATATTGAGGATTGTGCAGGATGGATTCCAATTTGTTTTAGTATTATATTTTCAAAATGACTAAACAATTAAATAAGAGAGTACAATTAGACAAAAGGACCATGCCAGTTCATATTTATGGACGCATGATATACATTCTCAAAATAAACATCCTCTAAAGGAAGAACATTTACTGGGCGTAGCATTCTCATTTGTTTGAGCCGCAGTTTCTGTCTTCCAGATGCAATTAGCAAATATTTAAATTGAAGGCTCCATTGTTGCACTGTTTAAGCTAAATCTAACCCTAACACCCTGTCAAGAAATGTGATTAATGGGGGTTGCAGGTATTTACTTTTTAAGTGTCCGGAGTTTAAAACCTGTGTTGTCTTGCTGTCCAAACACTTCAGCCCCGGAGGAATTTAGGTTAAAGAATGTTGCTGAAAGACATCTGTGTGGTAACGAAGCAGAGGGGTGGGTGTTGTTTATTTGTATCCTATCCACCATTCTAAAACATCTATTCTAATTAGAAAGATAAACCTCATATTATACAAAGATTGAACAGAATGATGAACTGAGGGTGTCAACATTGAGAAGACTGTAAAAAATGACATTCTCTCACTGACCTGTATTAGGCTAATTTCGACAAACTTGATACTTATGTATGCAGAAGAAGTAAGAGTAAATATAGAAGAGCCATAACTAAATTAATGCATCTTGTTAAAAATAATTATTCACCATGTTTATGACTCCTATGCATTAAACTGAATCTTTTTAATGTTTAATTATAGTAAGATTTTTTGAAGATTACACACACCAGAACAAAGAATCGTGCAAAATATAAAAGCAGCTTAACCATTTTTGTGTAGTGTTATATTCTTCTTGTGCATAAGTAAAAACAGCAACCCGTCTGCCGGTGTTCTTCTTTAAAAGCACACTGTAATCTTTGTGTACACACCTTTTACCTACTTTAACTATCATGGCCAGTTCTCTCCAACGCTGGCATTCAAAAAAAGAGGGTTTTTCTAAGCAGCCAAAAGCTGTGTACTTTGTAGTTAGTGGCTTTATGCATATGTTTAGAGCATCAATCTCTCATGTCCCCTATGAGCAGTGATGTAAGAACCTTTCACTTATCAGTAAACCACTTATTTGACCAGGCCTCGTTTGAAAAGGGTTTGAGTAAATATTTGTATGTGCACAGTTGGTCATTTGATTTTGCAGAAACTTTAAAGTGGACGGTCTATTCATCTCGTCAGCCATCCAACATTTTGGTTTTACAAACATGCAGTCAAATCAAAATATCTGACGCTGTTTTTTTCCACTGACCACAGGTAAACCAATTGTATTGCATGCAATCTGGTCTAATATTAATCATTAACAAGCTCCGTGAATGAGGTCCTGCACTGCTGCTAATTTTAACTTCCCATTCCTGCAGACTCTAAAACAGATGATTTTACACATTTAATTTAACCGGCACATTTGAGTTTGATCAGAAGAGATGTACCATTAAGAGTACAATCTGAGCAGTGAACTGTGTCCGTAGAGAGTCATAGAACAGCAGGAAGCAGAGGAGAGAATGAAGAATTACAGGTCAATAATGAGCCGCCTTGAGTTGGTTGTTTTGTCTTCCTTTATCTTATTTTGTACATCCTTGGACTTTTGCAAGCATGACGATTGATCTGGATGAGCTACTAGCTTCCGATTTCTAAGAAAGAAACAGTTGTACAATGAGACTTTAAAGGTCTCCTATTATACTATTTTTAGGCATATAGTATAGGTCTCAGACATATAAAAAACATGTCAATTAAGTGTTTTGCTCAAAATACCAAACAGATCAGGTTTTATTTTCTGACACTTTGTGAGTTCCCTTACAGTACTCACAGGGGACACATATTTATGTACAAAAGACATCAAAAAGTGCATTTTGCATGATAGGAGACCTTTAACTGTTAATTAAAGGACCACTGAATGTTTTTTGTTGTACCTCCTTTTTTGTACATCCAGAACAGTTGTTTTCTTAAATTACAACTGAACCAATCATTTTTATAGATACACTGAACAAAAATATAAACGCAACACTTTTGTTTTTGCTCCCATTTTTCATGAGATGAACTCAAAGATCTAAAACATTTTCTATAAACACAAAATAACCATTTCTCTCAAATATTGTTCACAAATCTGAAAAAATCTGTGATAGTGAGCCGAGATAATCCATCCCACCTCACAGGTGTGGCATATCAAGATGCTGATTAGACAGCATGATTATTGCACAGGTGTGCCTTAGAATGGCCACAATAAAAGGCCACTCTGAAACGTGCAGTTTTGCTTTATTGGGGGGGTCCGAAAACCAGTCAGTATCTGGTGTGAGGGGTAGGGGTAGGGTTAGGGTAATGTTGTGAATCGAGTGGCCCATGGTGGTGGTGGGGAGGTTATGGTATGGATGACGAACACAGGCCACTCGATTCACAACATTACCCTAACCCTACCCCTACCCCTCACACCAGATACTGACTGGTTTTCGGACCCCCCCAGACCCCCCCAATAAAGCAAAACTGCACGTTTCAGAGTGGCCTTTTATTGTGGCCATTCTAAGGCACACCTGTGCAATAATCATGCTGTCTAATCAGCATCTTGATATGCCAAACCTGTGAGGTGGGATGGATTATCTCGGCTCACTATCACAGATTTTTTCAGATTTGTGAACAATATTTGAGAGAAATGGTTATTTTGTGAATATAGAAAATGTTTTAGATCTTTGAGTTCATCTCATGAAAAATGGGAGCAAAAACAAAAGTGTTGCGTTTATATTTTTTATTCAGTGTAGTTATCCATTTGGTACATCTGAGTTACCATACTCAATCTTAAAGGAAGATTTACATTTTGAAGTGAGTTAATCACTTTCTTGCGATAAGTTACAAGGGTTAAGAAGATAGGTGTTATTCTTCTCAAATAAATGCAAGAAAGTGCTAAACGGGAAAGATAGTTTCATAAATGTGACAAATGAAATTGTAGCACTGAGGTTATTAATTTATTTAACAAAATGAACATTTGGATTGTTGAGCTCTTGCTCACACACGATCTTCAACAACACACAAGATTTTAAATTTGAATAAGTTACTTTATAGAAAAAAGGGACTAAATATTTGAAGACACTTATTTTTGTAATTCCTCAGTAACTGAATAAACAGATGTGTTCAGTCTAAACTGCCACAAATCTAATGTCAAGCCGACAGCTTTCTTTTTATAGAAAGCTAACGTGACCGTGTCTTGAATTATAATTTGACTTGAGGTGGGGGATGGGGATTTTACAAAAAAAAGGCCTCACCCTGAAATATTTCAGACAGGAAAAGCAGAAGCACATCACTCCCCCACCTCCATAAAGACCCTCTGGATTGTGACCTTCTAAGAAACGCCATGAACCGGGCCACTCTGGACCCCTGCTGTGGGAAAATGTTCTGAATGGGCTCCTGGGTCTGTGGGGGGAATAAAGACTCCTTTCCGGGGGCTGAATTAAGGATGTTTTTGGAGCAGGGGCTTCATGAAGCAGGAGTGATGTTTTAATTACACTCAGGCAGGAAAGATCACTGACATTTGGGAGACATTTTTAGCAATTTTGGTACACACATTTTAGTTTACATGCTTTGCAAATGATGCTTTTCTGTATGTCTCAGAAACAGATTAGATCATCGCACATGTGCATACACATGTGCATGCCTGATATATAATCTAAGGGGCCACCTAAACACAAGTGTGACCAGCCTCCCCTCCATTCTCCCGGGTTGCTCTCTGGGCAGAAAGGCCCTGGGAGAATGTGTGTGTCAAAAGGTTACGCAATCAGCCCACCATGCTGAGACAGCACAGACCTCTAGTGTGCTGTGGGGAGTGAGTGTGTGTGTGTGTGGGGGGTGTCTGAATGGAATTGGATAGAGGAAGGGGGGGGGGGTTTCGGAGAGGGAAAATCTCACTGCACGGGCTGCACTAGTTTCTCAGATCTCCGCCCCTCCTTGAATGTTATATAGTGAAACCTAAAACGCCAGCAGGCCCGTATTTGGTGGCCCACTCTTTTCCTGAGGCTGTCATTATGAAAGGTGAGTGCATTTGAATATCAATTATGTGACATAGATAGAAGTTAAAACTACGTTTGAGATACAATGGATATATTCATAGACATCCTACATTGTTATTTAATTGTGTATTTATTGGCTCAATGGAATTTGTTGTTTGAAACTTGTCATTTTGAGTTTTCCTGAGAAAAAAACAATGCATAATGTTGTCCTGCTAAGGAAAGGCATGTATTAAAACAGAACGATGTTCTCCAGAGCAGGAACTGTATGCACGAGAATCAACACTTTCATAACTTTGTTTTCATATTGAGCAAATGGGTATGCAGCACAGTCCATTCCATGCTGAGATCATGGTGTCCAGTGCTGTTATTAGAAAGCAGATTAAATGTGTTGTTGATCCAAGACAAGAGTTGCTTGTTGTTGCATCCTCAGGCACAGATAACATAATAAGCCATTGCTGCTCATTTTGCATTGTTGCATTCAGATTAATTACATATCAGAGAATATGGCTTCTACTGAGCTTTATCACGTGAAGCGTGGATGTTGTTTTGCAATCGAAATGTTTGCTTGAACATCAATAGCTCACCAATTTAGACACGTGACAATATTTTCGGCAGGAAATTCAAACGGATAATTAAAGAAAAGGTCTATATCAACATTAAATCAACATTTAAGACAATATGCATGACATTTTCTTCACAATGTATGCCATTCCCCTTGTTTTGTGTGTTTTTTCACCAACCAAATGTATCATTTTAAACCCTTATGTAGATTCAACATAAAATGCTGCAGTCTTTGTTGCGTACAGGTAGACATGAGACATTGAACCCAACCAACTGTAACTGATTGAGTTATGCATTAGCCTGTTTTATCCAACTCTCGTAGCCTCAGGATACGGGATATTGTGAATGTGTAACTCTGAGCTGCACATGATTACAAGAGGAGCCATTATTTCTAACCCCAAAGACCTTTGTCTTCTGCTCTTTTAATGTCTAACTAGTCTATCCGTTTCATCTTTTGTGGCTTTCCACTTTCACCTCAATATCAGTGTGGACTCTACTTATCTCACTCACGCTGGTGAACTAGAGATGTACATATATTTGGATTACTACCAATAAGAACAAAAGACAGTATCACAAGTAGTTTACATTTTTTTTGACAATTAATCAACTGGCTATAAGAGAAAAATAAGTCGCTTGCAATGACGAACCCACAGAGAACGATAAAGGCACTTCTCTGTGATTGGTCTCTCTTGTCCCATGCTTCCACTACTTTCCTTTGAGCTGGTTGCTTTTCTGTAATCTTGCTGACAAACAAACCAAACAAAAAAATATAACCTCCTTGGTGATTGTAATCATCACCAACCTCATTAGTTCCCTGCAGCTCTACAAAGTGTCAGAGGCTCTTTCAGCCCAATTGCTTTGTTTTTGCGGTCCACATTTGTACTGTTCTGGTTCACTGTCACAACTCTTATTACCTTTGTTTTAAAGACACCAAAGACAGTTGTTGATGAGCAAACAAAGAAATCGAATGAACTCACAATTCTCTATCTGTTCATGCACCAGTCGTGCAAATAGTGCACCATTTGGCAGCTTAAGAGCGGCATGACCGGCTTTTTCATTAGAGATTAACCTAAATACTTTTTTGAGTTTATTTTTGAAGTCATGTTGAACCTTTGAGAGGATCTCTACCAAATGGTAATCTGTTAACAGGTTTTGGAGGGTACTACATATGTGGAATAAGTGGTATATAGGCCTTGTGTGACTCCACAGGAGTGCTAAATTGCCTTAAGTGGCAAATAGTAAAGTCCTCATCTCTGCTTGAGGCTAGAAACTGGAGGCTACTAACAGGATAACACATCAAAATCTCTAACAAAACTGTCAGCAGCCATGGGGCATGATGGGTAATGGAGGCACCAGGTTTTGGCAGGAAGAAAATGGCATGGAATAAAGAAAGACTGTCCATTGTGCGCCGGGCAATGTTAAAGAAGTTTAAGGCTAAATCTGTGTTTTAAGGGCCATTGGTTTATTAGAATAAAAACTGAGCACTCAATGTCCAGTTAAGTCAGCCACACATTCATTCAATCCTTCAATAGGTCAGTCTGTCAGTCACTCACTCTGCCAGTCACTTGCTCAGTCAGTCCACAGCTCCTCAGAGAGAGGTTACGTTGGCACTGTTTCCTGGGATAAAGCTCTTCTGTTTCTTGATGAGGTCATTCTTAATCTTTGCATATTTTCTCACACGGTGCCTCTTCTGTGACTATTCTATTAGCATATATGTATGAACATTATTTCAGCCTGACTATGTTACTATAAATAGTGCTAATATTAAGTCTCACCTATTTAAAAAGGACTGTTTGAAGTGAGGCATTTGGCCCGTGTGTTGAGCTTCCCAGCATTCACAAAGAAAGTGTGAAAAAGTGAGGTAAACTGTGATCTGGCTGCGACACCAGTGAGGATTCTCATTTGCCAGCACAGAGCGGAGAGCGGTGGGGCTCCTTGGGCTTTTGTTGCCCCAAGACTTCATTCCCACCAAGTACCTCCAGAAAACAAGGGGCTCTATTTTTACCTCCGGCCACAATTTGGCTTCAGTGCTGGAGATTTTTGGCTCTTAAGAGGGGTCCAACCTCCAACCTCCAACCTAATGCACACAGCACACACAGAGTCACACTTGTGCTCCACCTCTGCTCTTTGCCAGGAGGATCACATTCCTTAAGGTGGCTTCAAACAAGGCTGTTGTCTTCAGAACTAAACTCCAAAAAAGAAGACAGCTTTATTGGTCCCGTGAGACAAAGGTCACGCAACATATGCAACGCATTAGTTTGTGTGCATGTCTGAAAGATAAAGAAAGGTTCATGCCCATACGTATTCTTGTAAATGAATAAGTTTGAGCATGTTTCCTGCAGACTGACAACCAATCCATTTGAATTGAGACTGCAACAGCCATCATGCCTGTGAGAGAGCTAAAAGGGTGACAGAGGGGCTGGTGAGGGGCCTGTTAATGCAAGCTGACAGGAGTGAGCACAGTCAGTGAGTTGTCTGTTTCCTCCACAGAGAGAAATTATTTCAGCAACACTGGCCCCAAAACAGGGTCTGGCCGAGGGCTCGACTAACGTCTAACGTTGTCACGTAACATCAAGCCATTACTGACCTCATCCAACACAGGAAGAGTAGTGACAGGAAGAGTAGTGACATAAATAAAACATTAGATCTTGTAAACAAAAACAGGCATATTTGGCACATTTCATACACGATGGGAATTCTCCTTAAGAACTAGCCAAGGTCCTGAATATCCTCCTTCTCACTCCAGGTCTTTCACTTAATCTTCAAATAGGTCCCTATTTATATTTATTGAGCCGGAAGGACCAATTAAAGAAAAATGTAAAGCTTCTCGAGGACTATTGTGACATTTGAAGCTGGTTCTGTTTTCCTATATTAGTAAATAAGGGGATTTTATTTCTTGGGTTTTATGTTTTTCAGTTTTGAGAGTATGCATGACTGGTAGCTTCATTTTAAATTATCTGGAGCCTTATAATAGGATGCACATTTAGGCTCACTGAGCAAATTGAGCTTATTCAAATTATTTTGGATGATGAAGTCTAAAAAAACATGTCATCAACTTTTTTTTCCATAACCCATTGCCTACTTTTTCATGACTTGCTTTGTGTGAACTGTGACAAAAGAGGTATTCTAAAACGAACATGTCAGCTGAATCATATTGGGATGATATGGTCAGATCACATTATCCTTTGACAAAGGTATCAAAAGCAATTTTGCATTACAAACAAACAAAATGAGTTACTTAAGTTCTTGTTTTACACAAGTATAGAGCTTTAACTGATGTGATTAGTGATGACACTGAACGGTCATCATTTTGATTCTGGTTTTTCAGATGTTGCTCACATTTACCATATTTAAAGATGTCTTCAGATGACATCATCACCAGTTATGGAATTCAATTATTTGCTATTCAGATAAATAGTAACTTTTTGAAATAAATAAATTACAAACAGCGCTTTAGAACTTCTACTGTGAGATTGTGTCCTTAATTATTTGTCAAAGGAATTTCAATTGAAAACAAGGAATTAGTTATGCCTCTTGAGATATATGAAATACTGATAATGCCATTTGCAACATTACTTCTTTGACATTTTCTTTTCCACTCTTTCCCTTTATTCCCACAGGGGACACGGAGGACACGGAGGACATGTCCAAAGTGGAGCCCTCCAATGGGCTCAGCAGGCCCCTGGACATCGTGCCCAGCACAGAGGATAAGTTGATAGAGAGGGGTCAGTGGAGCAACAAGATCGAGTTTGTTCTGTCAGTGGCCGGAGAAATTATTGGCCTGGGGAATGTCTGGCGTTTCCCCTATCTATGTTACAAGAATGGAGGAGGTGAGTGCTCAAATACTTCTCTCTGGCATGTTTAACACAAAAGCTTTTGTATTCAGTCATACATATCTTGATTTACTCCAAACACAAGTCTTCCAGAAGTTCCAACTTTGCACTGATTGAAATTGTAAAGCATCACAATTAAGCTTCCAATTAAAAATAATATATTTAAATTAGGAGGAGATAATACACACGCTAATATATAATCTATTCCAAGGAGATCCATTGAGGGTCATAGTTCACAGAAAAGAGCCAGACTCATTTGGGAAGCTAGTTTAGGTGTGGCTAATGGCTGATAAGAGAGAGCTCACTGACAACAAATAAACAATAAAAACATTGTATCGGTTATGTCCGACAGGCAGTAAAAGTGTGTCATTCTCTTGTTAACCACATGAATGATTTCAGATTATTCGACCAGCATAAGATTTTGACCATTTATATCTTTAAATATTCTCTTTACAATACCTTAAATGAATGCATCAGTATCTTCTACTCTACATGGTTTGAGAGCATATTAAAGGTATTAGACTAGTGAACTGTTCCTTTAATCTATGTACTTATACAGGGGCCTTCTTCATCCCATACCTCATCTTCCTGTTTGCTTGTGGGATCCCGGTCTTCTTCCTGGAGACGTCTCTGGGTCAGTTCACCAGTGAGGGAGGAGTCACCTGCTGGAGGAAAATCTGCCCGTTATTTGAAGGTACCCATTTTATTAAGAAATAGAATTAAATGGATGTTTAATGTTGTCGAAACACTTTATAGCTTGACAGCATGCACTTCCAACAATTATTTTACTTGGCGGAAGTATCCATCTTCATGATGATTAGAACGTTAAAATGTAATGATCTAATGATCCCAGTATGCATTTTATTCTGAAACAGTTCGTTTTTTGTGCACCACACTTGTGACAACATCTATACATGTTCACAACAATGTGGGATTGGAGAGGAATTTCCGATATGTTAGGATCTGTGTGCTCATATCCTTTTCAGTGTGCATGTAGTGCGTTACGGTTGGCTTTAGCGTCTCATAGCTGGTTTTCTTGTATTTCTTGCCCTTTTAACAAACAGCTTAACTACGCACATCAATAATACCACATTTTGGTAGCAATATTTGTTGATCAGCACCATTTATGTGACTGCTCTGAATAATACATGTTTTCTTTGATATGGAAAAGTAGCCTTATGTAGTTATTGTTCAGCCTTTCTGAGGACATTGCAGTTTCATTTATGGACATAGTCTTGTAAGAAAATAAAACCACACACAATTGTAACCAATTCACCTTTTCCTGCAAACCTGACATGGTTTATGAGGCATTTAATGCACAAATAATTGATTTGCAAACATTGGATGCATAACTCACAAGCCAATGTAGTATACAGTTGTTTTATGCAATCCTATTAACTGGTGAAATAGACTCATAATATAAATGGATTACATGGATTTCTTTCATTATTGAGCTGCTCCAATGATGGGGAATTTAGCAGGCTTTATCAACTATCACATTGTTGACAGGTCATATCAGCCTGTTTGACACTCTTTGTGTGTGTGCATGAAGCCTCGACAAATGAACTCTTTGCACACTCGTTTGCTAAAAAAGCTTCTAAACGTTCACTTCGACATCACTTTGTTTTAGTTTGGCGAACATTGCGTGAGTTGTTTTGCATAAACAAATATCTGCCCACTCCTGGGTGTTCGGCCGAAAAGAGTCCCGTTCAGTGACGAAAACAAAGATAAACGTTCCGGGAGGGACCAAAAGATTGACCCTTGTGTGGTGTTCGGGTCAAATTGACCCGATTTCCATTTTCAATGAATAAAAAAAGAAATAAGGATATTTTCGTTCAACCTGAAACTCAATGGCCGGGGCTTATTTATTGTGAAGGACATGTGGAATTGTTTTTGTTTTTTTTCACTGCCCACCCGCATTTATGTCCTTCATAAGAGGTTCGGGTCAATCTGACCCGGATACAATACCAGGACAGACAGACAGAGAAAAACACAGAAACACACAAACTAAAGACATACACACACACACACACACACGCACACACAACATTGTATGCATAGAGAAGCTATTTGATCCTGTTTTCCCTTGATCTTTACCCTTTGTAGTGTGTACACAAAACTATCCTAGAACATTATAAAAATGTTAGATCTTCCAGAAATGTAAAAACATTTTACATTTTATCGCACTGTCCCCCTCGCACCTGCACGCCGGAGGAGGGACCAAACATAGACATAACCTCACATTACAGTGTAGTGCAGAACTACCATTTTCTACCAGCAAAATGGGCAAAATATATTCTGCTCAGAGAGCCTTGGAGCTAATAATGGATGAGAGTAAGTGGAATGCATTAGAAGAACACGGTGAAGTGGAACAGGAAGACATTTCTGAAGATGAGTATAATGTGGAGGTAAACTCAGAATTTGACAGCGAATTGGAAGATGAACTTGACTCAGAGCCAGCTGCTGGAAGACCCCCACAGCCAGCTGCTGAAGGACCCCCACAGCCAGCCGCAAGAAGACCCCCACAGCCAGCCGCTGAAGGACCCCCACAGTCAGCTGTGAGGTCTGTGGACCCTCAAAGGATTCCAAGACACAGACTACATGCAGCAACTGCAACAAGTACATCTGTGCTATACACACGAAGAAGTTCTGTACATCATGTGTTTCCTAAACGGACTTGCCCATTGACTCACATGATGTTCTGCAGCGTCACTTCATCAATATATTTTTCGGATATACTGTATTTTATTAATAGTGACTGTTAATTGTTTTTATTTGCTTTGTGGTTATATCTGTTCTATGTCATTTATATGGATGTTTCATTATCTCTATATTTCACAGCCAAATACTTTTGGATGTGGTTCTTGTGTTTCAATTGCTGTTAAATTGCTTTATTTCCTTCAGGGCTTATTATTATTATTATTATGATTATTATATAGACAGATTAAAAATAATAAACATTAATTAAAAAAAAATTCATTTACATTAGTCATAGCAAAATGCGTGAGCATGCATGAGCAAAATGTAAACCTAGTTTTTATTACAGTGTATTTTTGTTAACATAAATTACATTTTTATCACAAAAAACGATGGACACTTCCATTGTTACATTTGATCTAGCAAAGAGTATTTTCAAAAACGAATCATATATTTCATTTATATTGTTGGGGAATGAGTTAAAAACAATATATATAAGGAATTGTGCATGTTGAATTTAGTTCTGTATTTTTTTTAAACCCTGAAATATGTCCCGGGTCAATTTGACCCGAACATTACCAAAGGGTGCGAAATGTGAACATACCACAAGGGCAGAGATGGGGTCGTTACTATTTTTTTTAATGTATTACATATTACATATTACTTTTTAAAAAAAAGTAATATATTACACTACTTCGTTACTCTCTACATAAAGTAACTCGTTACTTTACTCGTTACTTTACTCGCCGAGCACGTACGAACTGCGCATGCGTGAGTGGCAATAACTCTCCTTACCAGCAGGCAGCGGTAGTGTGTATTCGTCATTCAAAACAGGCAACGACCGGAAGACAGAGAAGAAGAACAGACTACGTGATATAAACAAACAACAAATAGCGTGTGCGTTAGCTTCACCTTAGCATGTGTTCTTTGCAGGTGTTTGTTGAGGTTTGACGTGGTGTTACAGCAGTGGATAACAGCTACTGGCCTGGACACAGTTTGCACCTCACCGTCACATTCCTGTCTATTCGGACAAACTCAAAATAATGGGCATACTTCCACCCCTCGAAAGTTATCGCTGACTCAGCCATGCAGCCATGGTGGAGATGTGGACGCGCAGATTACGTACATATAAACCTGCGGCGGAAACCCCTCTTGTCTGTCAGTGTGATTATGACTGATTTTTAGTAAGTAACGAAGTAACGCGTGTCGAGGCAATGTTAGTAACTGTAGTGTGATTACTGAATTATAAAAGTAGCGCGTTACACTACTCCGTTACCGACAAAGGTAATATTATTACAGTAACGCGTTACTGTAATAATATTACTTTTGTCGGTAAAACACCCAACTCTGCACAAGGGTTAAACATGAGAGGGGGGAAATTAGTAGTTGAGGTGATATATTTGTTGTAGTATGGGCGTCACTTTGTCAGACAATGTGGTGGGGACAATCTCTAGAGATTTAACATCAGCATAGCAGAAGACAAAAGACGCCCCTCCCCTGGATATTGAACCTCGAGCACCTGCATGAAAAGCCAATCCATAGACCTCTGGACCACCAATGTGTTTTTATAATAATGAACGCTCAACCATTTTGGCTATCAATAATTACCCTGTAGGCCTATCCTATTTTTGTGTTCACCAATTGCATGCCAGAAAGCGGTATTGGACATCTAAACTACATATACAAATATTGTTTACTTATTTTATATAAATGAATGTCCCACACAGCCATTTATTTATCATATTCAGGCCTGGTTCAGGTTGGTTGTATGTTAGACTTCTTGTAAAAGTGTGTTATTTTGCTTGACTAAATGCTGTAATCGCTGAACATCTTTTTTCAGTTTACTTGAAAAGTTGATTCATAAACTTGATGCTTTGTTTGTTCCAGGTGTGGGTTATGCCACCCAGGTGATTGTTGGCCTGCTTAACATCTACTACATTGTGGTGTTAGCCTGGGCCCTCTTTTACCTGTCCAATTCCTTCACCTGGGATCTGCCCTGGGCCTCCTGCAACAACACCTGGAACACAGGTGAGCCACAGGAAAACACCTGCTCCTGCTAGACATACTGTGACACACACATTAATCAGGTGTCTCCATCTGTGCATGCTTTATGGAGGGTTGAATACATATTCTAACCATATGTGATGGATCGGTGATCTGTCTTTCCAACACATAGACTAACTAACAGACTATATCTTAACAACAATGGATTGCCATGACATTAAAATAATGAATACTAATTCCTTGTCTTTTGCTCTTGAGCCATCAAAAAGTTGATGTTTTTAAATGTTATTGGATGGATTGTCAGGAGGACCTTTAATTCCCTTTCAGGATTAATTGTAATAACTTTGATGATTTCCTGACTTTTCATCTAGTGCAATATTTCAGGTCAAATTTTGTATTTGCCCAATACGTTGGATTATGAACAAATACTGTACTACCTTAAAAGCGATTGGCTATTCCATCAAATCCAGCTTTACTTTTTGTAGTGCAAGCTAGCATATGTTAGCATGATAACACCTCAAGCTAAGATTGTAAACACAGTCGATAAATTACAGCACGTCAATATGGCTATACATTTTTAGTGGTGTTTGTTTCTAAACTACCTAAAACCTTTTCCCCTGGCGTTCCCCTTCACCATTCAATTAATGCATAGTTTAATTTCATCTTATATGGAGTTACTGTTCTTGCACCATTTCGCTCCTTCGCCTCTGAGGTGGCATTGTTTCGGTTGCCTGTGTGTAACTTGGAAACAGACAAGCTTGGATTTCTTCACAGCATTGAATGTCTTTCTGTCTTTCTTTTCATTCAAGATTCTTGTATGGAATTTCAGAGGGGGAATGGCTCCATCAATCACCATGAGAACACCACCTCTCCTGTCATTGAGTTCTGGGAGTAAGTGCCTCTTTTTTTGTTGGTCTTGTCCTCAAATGGCCTTATGGTGCCAAGGAGTTCACAAGTATTTAACTTTAGCAATTTATTCTTGAATTACATCCTGTTTTTTAAATGTATGACTGTTAGACTAGATACAACAATAACAACTGGTTCCAAAGTATTGTAATTTTTACTACAAGGTCTTTTGAATTGCTAATTTCTAGGACAAGAGGAAAATACTTAGTGTGTGTGTGTGTGTGTGTGTGTGTGTGTGTGTGTGTGTGTGTGTGTGTGTGTGTGTGTGTGTGTGTGTGTGTGTGTGTGTGTGTGTGTGTGTGTGTGTGTGTGTGTGTGTGTGTGTGGTGTGTGTGTGTGTGTGTGTGTGTGTGACAGGCGAAGGGTGCTGAGAATTTCCTCAGGTATTCATGATATTGGCTCTCTGAATGGGGACCTGGTTATCTGTCTGGCCGTAGCGTGGGTCATCTGCTACTTCTGCATCTGGAAGGGAGTCAAGTCTACTGGCAAGGTAAAACCTCTCATCCATATATAATAGCTAAATATTCACATAGGAAAAAGAGAGTATTAGTAGACAATAGCTTATTCCATGGTAGGATCCTTATTTAAATCAGCTTTTTATGCAGGAAGTGTTGGGTTGATTAAAGTTGCAGAAGGAATTAATAATGCACCAATTGGGCAGCTAGAGTTATCAGTTTAAGACACACCCTTAACAACTAAAAATCCAACATACCAAACATAAATAGTAAAGCTTCAACTTGTGCAAACACTTTTTAAACATTGTCACTTGTAAACATCATTTACATTTAGCATAAAACATTATCTGAGAAGGAAGAATGTCGTTTTGTATACGTCTTGTAGGCATGTCTGAATAAAACATGTTGCTATGTCCCGGCAGGTGGTTTACTTCACAGCCACTTTCCCTTATGCCATGCTGGTGGTCCTGCTGATCAGAGGGGTCACGCTGCCAGGAGCTTCCATAGGAATCTCCTACTACCTCTACCCCGACCTGGAACGTCTGTCTGACCCACAGGTAGGGAATGTCATTTCAGACATACATAAATGAACGTTCACTCTAACACATGCAGATCTGACTGAAAAAGACGATGATCTCCTATAAGTACCTTGGTGTCCATCTAGATAATACACTCAGCTGGAAGGCGCATGTTCAAGGTCTGTGCTCTAGACTTCAACAGCGATTGTACTTTCTGCGTCGACTCCGGGCTTTCGGAGTCGACCAGAAGTTCATGTTACTGTTTTATCATGCAGTGTTGGAGAGCATCATTAGGTATGGTATCACTGCCTGGTACGGTAACTTGACAGTGCAGTCAAAGTCACAGATCGCTCGCCTGGTACAGACGGCTATGAAAATTATGGGGGTTAAAAAACACCCATCTCTCCAAAACATATATGAGCAGTCCATTATCAGACAGGCAAACAAAATAGCGTCTGATCCCACCCACATACTCCACCCAGAATTCCAGCTCCTACCTTCTGGTAGAAGATTCAGGGTTCCCAAGAGCAGGCTGAACCGCTATAAGCACTCATTCCTACCAATGTCCGTCAAACTTCTTAACATTGACAGGAAATGAAATGTAGTCGAAGTCAAATGTAATGAAATGTACTTTTTTTAAATGTTGGCCATGAGGGTTGTGCAATAGGTCGCCATTGTCAGTATGTGCGTCTGCGTGTATTGTGTTTGTTCAAACGGTGTATGATTGATGATATGTGTATGTCTCTTAAATGTCCACTATGTTTGTATATTATGTACATGTATGCGGAACTGCTGGACGGAGCCCAGAACGAATTTCCTTACGGGGACAATAAAGTATATCGTATCGTATCGTATCGTAAATCAGCATTTCAATGCTTTCCGAAATAAGTGTATGCCCTAATCTTAAAATTGGTAAAAACTGTTACGGCCCATCCACACACAGGCATGAAAAAAATCTTGAAATATCTTGATGCTGGGCGTGTCTGAAGCTTGGCGATTTTTTGCGACCAACAACCAATCACATGAATCTCCCGCCCCCGACATACAAAGCAATAGCAATGTTAAAACGAAGTAAACTGGATATAAACTCCCCAAACAGGCGAAAACCTACCAGTTTCACCCACTGTCTCTGCCACCTCCCTCCATGCCTTGTTCCTCAGGTTTGTATCCCGGTAAATAGTTCTGGTCGTAAAGAACCGGGTGATTTGCTACCGTAATTTCTCGTTTGGAATATGAGGAAATGAACTGCGGTCTGGCTCTCCCAGCTTGCACGCGGTTTGATTGGCTAGCGCTTGTACTGGCGGGATTTGCATAAACGGGATTTGATTGGCTGATGCCAGCTTCGAAAGCATCGGGAGCATCAAAAGTTGAACATTGCTCAACTTTTGATGCTCACGATGCTTGCAAAGCCATGCTCCGCTCCCCACAATGCAGTTCGGCGAAGATTCAAAATCTTCTACGTCACCCCATTCAAGTTAATTTCATGCCTGTGTGTGGACGGGCCGTTAGAGTATTGCCTTGAGAAAAACAGCTCTACATATCAATTCTAGACATCGCATTTTTACGAACTTGAGTTACTAAAATGTTTCAGAGAAAGACAAACTAACTCGTCATCCCACACTCCCTAAAGATTACGCTCTGCTATCAGGATTGCAATATCAACCTAAATTGTCCAAACAACATTAGTGTTGGGTTCATAGCTTGTTTCGAAGCTTCTTCCCAGGGGGAACAAAATCAGATATTGCAGGTTTATTGACACAGGATGTGTGAATCTCGGACGTCTTACTTACTGCTCTCGCACTGAACACAAACCAAGCTTACTTTAAGCAGGTTAACAAACAACACCGCCGCCAATTTGTCTAGAGCGGACAATGTCATTTAATAATGTGTCCAGCAGATTGCCAAGGACTTATCACTGCTGAGGGAAAGAGAAAGGATTTAGAAATGGGCTGCTAACAGGGACTTTACAATTTCTTCTTTCCTTGCCGCGAGATTGCAACCAGTGCGAACATTTAAAAGAGGGGCCCTCTTAAGTCCCTCTCAGGACTCGGGGATGAATACAAGTTCTGTGTGTGCAGGCCAAGACAATCTAGGCTGGTGCAGTTTGTGCTTTGGGACTACCTGCCTTTGTGTCGTGTTGTGTCCAGAGCTTGTGTTGTTGGTTGGACCACCAGTCAATCGGATCTTCAGTTCTGGCTGCTAACTATCTAAAACATGCCCCAGTGCCCCGGGAGCACTCTGCCAGAATTGCAAGCATAAAGAAAAACCTCATTTGAATTTTGAAGTGAGAGTAAGTGTTAAAAGAGGGTGGAAAGTGCTTCACTTTATGCCTCGGGGCGACGGAGATGGATAAAAACGGTGCTGTGTGGATGTGGGTAAAGAGTTTTGACATTTGATAGATGCTTTGTGAGTTTTCTACAAGATGAGAAGGTATGATTGGAGATAACTCTTAAAATATGACAAGTACATGGAGGCTGTCTGAGATAACACTTTATGTAGTCGTTGTTTTGAATCTTTTCTCCTTTATATTGCTAATAAAAATCGCCCTGTCATTTTTTCTCCATTCCTTATTATTCTGTTTGTCTGAGCTCATAAAGCCGTGACAACTCATTTATAAGAAAGCTGGTTTGGTAACAGAGACATGAATACAGTCAGTCTGAATACATGTACAGTGTTTTTTAAAAATAAACATTTACAAGTTGGCTCTTATACTTTCAGCATTAAATGTTATCTAAGGGACATTTCAAAGTCAACAAAGCCACAAAACTAAAACGTTAAATGTTTTTTAAGGGTTTTGCCAGGCATTGAATTGTCATAAAGTGTGGATACTTCCCCTTTTTTCACCGTTTCATTTATCTTGTTTCTCTTCTGTCATTAGGTATGGATGGATGCTGGAACTCAGATCTTCTTCTCGTATGCCATCTGCCTGGGTTGTCTCACTGCCCTGGGAAGCTACAACAAATACAACAACAACTGCTACAGGTAAGGACTGAAATCATAATGCACTAACAATTCTATCAACTGCCCAACAATACTTCTCTATTCTGTCATCACAGTGAAATGTAACCTGTTTTTCATCCTTATACTGCCATTATTGCACAGTTGACAATATGATTGGTACAATTTTGGTACCATTCTTAACCCTTCACCACATGCAGTTTCTAATCATAACATGTCCCTCTGTGTGTTATGTGCAGGGATTGCCTGTCCCTCTGTTTCCTGAACAGTGGCACCAGTTTTATAGCAGGGTTTGCCATCTTCTCCATCCTGGGCTTTATGTCCTATGAGCAGAACGTGCCAATCTCAGAAGTTGCTGAATCTGGTTGGTTATTATTTGTACCGTATTAGGTACTACTGTTATGTATGATATCCTACAGACTGTCTGAGACTTATTGTTCTACTGATTTACTGTGCCTAAATTATTTTTAAAAGATATGAGTCATAATTCATTTTCCTCAGCCTGTCAATGGCCTCTATGGTTTAGTGATATTGATGATATACTTTCATAGCATTCCATTGAGCATGTATGACCAATTATAGTTATTTAAATCTCATCTTTTACATTTCAAATCTGTCTAACTCAGGTCCAGGTTTGGCCTTCATAGCCTATCCTCGTGCTGTGTCCATGATGCCTTATCCTCCTCTGTGGGCCTGCTGCTTCTTCATTATGATTGTCTTTCTGGGACTGGACAGTCAAGTGAGTCCGACATATGCTCCTCACACACAACAGAGATAACAGAGATTGCTACATTTCACTATTTCTATTGTAAACATAATTCTTGCAAAACAGCATTGAATATTTATAAAGGCCAATTTGCACAGATCTCTTTAAATGTTGTTTTCTTCTACATGTGTTGGGTAAGTCAGCAACACACATGTAAAAACAAACATATATAGACTCATATACAAATATCTACTTCTTGTGTCTTTCCTGATCAGTTTGTGTGTGTGGAGAGCCTGGTGACAGCCATGGTGGACATGTATCCCTCCACCTTCCGGCGTAAGAACCGCAGGGAGCTCTTCATCCTGGCAGTGGCTGTGGTGTCCTTCCTCCTTGGGCTCATCATGCTGACAGAGGTTTGGGACTTTAGTGTTATTATTTTAACATAACAAGATTACACATTAAGCTTGTAATCTTGCCACAAGGAGACAAGAGAAGGTAGAAACCCCTAGTTTGTGTGCAAAACCAATTTATTTCAAACCGGATTTCAGAATAAGCATTCAGACATTTAGTGTTTCTGCATGACGCTTCACTTCATTCTTCCTCTCCCGGGTTGTATTTAGGGATAATAAGCAGAACAGTGGGGAGCCTCCAGTGCAGTTAGGCCGAGGGCAGTTGCACCACAATCTGTATTTTTCAAAGTAATATTGGGCAATCATAGTAAAGATACATAAAAAAATAAATGCTATAAGATAATAAATGCTGACTCGGTTGCACTGGTGGCATCTTAGGGCCTTTTGTTTACACTTAGGTAAAGACTTTCTTGTCTTTGCAATTCATAAAACAAACCAAATTCATTTTAAAAACGAAACTGCCTATTTCTACTTATTGCAATTTCCTTTAAACCCTCACTTTTAAAGCAGAGCCTTTCCTCCTGTCAAACCAAGTGTTACTATAAGTGTGTATTGTTTCAGTATTTTCATCATAACAATAGAACTGCCAATTTATGCTTTGCAGAAATGTCTTCAAGTACAAAATGGATGATTGGCCTGCATAGTATAAAGAGTCTCAGTTTTTCTTGTATACTTGGTTATTAACCCATGTCTGTCTCCACAGGGTGGCATGTACATCTTCCAGCTCTTTGACTACTACGCAGCCAGTGGGATGTGCCTGCTCTTCGTGGCTATATTCGAGACTGTTTGCATTGCTTGGATTTATGGTGAGAGTGTTAGGCAGGCTATTTGGGAATGCATAAAGGGGAATTTGAAAGACAAAGGCTTTATTCTCACAAGGCTCTATTCATCCCGGTAAACAGTTCAGTACATTCAGCCAATCACCACCAATCTACTTTTTTCCTCACATTGGAGCCTGAGAGTATTTCACATGTTATCTTTTGTTAGCTGGTTTATTTGGGGGATAATAAGAATCCCAATTAAGTAGACTTCTTTATTAAACAGTCATGAAATGTATTGTCTTATGACCTTTCTGCTGCAGATGATTGTTTGATATTGATGTAATTGTATGCGTTTGCTTTATCTCTCCCTGATCACAGGTGCTGACCGTTTCTACGACAACATTGAGGACATGATTGGTTACCGGCCCAGCCCTGTCATTAAATACTGCTGGCTTTATTTCACCCCTGCAACTTGCTTTGTGGGTCTCATTCATTTTCAATATGCATGCTTTCACACTTCTCTCTTAAAGCATGAGCAGCCTCTGCTGGCCATCGTGGAAAATACCATTTGAATTAGCAAAATATCCCAAATGATTTGATAAAGCTATCAGAAAAGGCATTGAAGTTAAGATTAATGGATATTATCAGTGATTTTGTATTTATTTAGTAGTATTTTAAATATCAGTAGTGTTGTATCAACGTGCATCCATACAGAAGCGTGAAATCTCTCTCTTTCTGTGTTCAGGGAACCTTTGCTTTCGCCTTGATCAAGTACTCACCTCTGAAGTACAACAATGAATACGTATACCCATGGTGGGGCAATGGGATAGGCTGGGTCCTGGCTCTATCCTCCATGCTGTGTATTCCCGTGTGGATTGCAGTGAAACTGTACAAAACCCCTGGAACCCTGAGAGAGGTACGTTTTTCTAAAAACTCCATTTCCTTGGTGCAAATAAAAAAAAAGAGTAAACAGAAACGAAAAATAGGATTACAGATAATTGGGATTGTGTTAAAGCTGCTCGCATAATTTAGTTTCTGTATTGGTAATGGATCACATGATTATGTGTTTGTAAAATGGGTTGCTCTTAGTATCAAATCCACAGAGATGATCACCCAATACTGCAGCTCTTCCAAGGAGCATTTCATCATCGTAGCTTATTGATTTGCTTTCATAGCTTTACGGTCGGGTTCAGTCTCACTGCTCTCTTTTTTTCACTGTAAACACGACCAGCCCAGCACAAAGCTGAACATACTGTAACCTACTGTATAGGAGCTAAAGACATGTCTCCCTGCTGGTGGAGACCCTAACAGAGATCAACGCAGGGGGAATATCGCACTTTTGTTGGAAGGACAAAGATTGGTACTTCCTGGATAAGCAAATATGTAACTGTTTGCTCCCATTAACCTGAACAACTTTATAAAGGTTATACTGTGTCAATATTGTGCTTGGAGCCAGTTTCCCTTTTGATAAATACAAGTCAATTAGAGTCATGAACTGTTTGTTTTTTAAGCAACAGTTATTAGTCTAGTGATCAGGGACTTTGCCAAAGTGCCATAATGCTCCTGGTTAAAAGTGTGTATGCTTCCATGTATTGCATAACTGATCTTGAATAATCTCTTCGATATTGTAAATAATAACAGTTTAATGAGAATGATTGATGTTGGTTACTATATATTGCAGTTAATATGTGGTTTTAAAATGAATATTCGTTGTTTTTTTCAAACGCATCACTGACATAAAGTAAGTTTTCCTACATTTTATACATCTTCTGTTCACAGCGCCTCGTTTTCTTGACAACTCCTTCCATCGACTTACCGAAGTCGAAGCAGGAGCAGGCGAGGCTGCTGGCCATCTTCGCAGCGGACGGCGACAGCCTCCATCAGAAATCACCTCCCACCAAGGAAGGATACTTCCCCGTTGATGAAAAGGAGTCGAACTGCTAGAGACATGAGGTTTGGTTTCAGAACCTTGAATGGGGTCAAAGGTCATTCCTTAGCCTTGACACTCTGTCTGGCCCCATCCCAACTTCCCTTCAATACCTCACCAGACACAGCGCAGACTTTAAGAGTCACCTGACCTGTTACTGCTGATCTGCTGCTGGAGCTTTTCTCCTTTGTTAACAGCATGACGGCGTCAGCGTTCTTACTTAAAGAGTAACAATTATTTGGGTACCATCTTGTTGCCAGTAGCAGAGTCATATTTACACTTGAAAATGGCAGCCATTGTTGTTTCACAGTGGCTAAGAATTTACATTGATTGTGTTTGCTTTCTGAGGAAGCCTTTTTTATGTTTAGCTTGTTTGACATTCCAGTTACTTTATTGATTATACCAGCTATCTGTTGCGGAGGTGTCACACGAATAAAAGCTGTGTGTTTGAATGAACTTCTGCATGTAGAGTGCAAGTGTGTTTCATCCATAGATTAAATAACGCTGACAGCTCTGTTTTTACTCTATAAAAAGATTGTTATCATCTCAGGATGTTACATATTTTAATTAAAAAACAAAATCATACTAATAATAACCAATGCTTGAGAAAGCAAGGATTTGAAATGTATATTTAGTAGAATTCAACTAATTTTTGCTGTTCAATATGTTTATATTTCTGGTGCAGAACAATGCAGATTTGCATGAATGTTACATGCTTTTTTTCAATATTCAGATTTTTGACATTTTAATTTAGTCACTTTTGCCTTATCTCTAATGCATTGAATTGTTTGAACTTAAAATGTGAAGTGCCTGGAGTTGACAGCTGTGCTGCTAATAATATGAACAAAGCACGCTGAGAGGAGGGTTGTATTCCAAAATCTCTCTTGTCTTCTCTTTTCCTGCTGGATAGCAATGAACCTCTGCATGTGTTTTTTTAGATATTGGAATGAGTATATGATCATGTGTTGCCAATAGGGACTACTTTTACATATATAACTTTTATATACTATGATAAATGATTTTTTATGAATGAATATAAAACACTTTAATTAAAATATACATTTCAATATATGTATGTATTTTTTGGGACATGGAGTTTGATATTCAATTCATGCATGATCTTAAATCCTCACTTGCTATCAGGTAATATTTTAAAGTATTAGGGGGTTTTAGGATACCGTTGATACTCTTGTTTAAGAAAATGTATTGTTTTACAAACTTTTGATTTAATGCACAACACATTAAACCAGGGGTGGGGAACCTTTTTCCTCTCAAGGGCCATTTAAAATGTTTCAACATCCTCCAAGGGCCGTACAAATTATTGACCTCTGCTTAAAAAAACTAAAATCACAGCCCATTCATTTGGCCTTTCTTTCATGCTGTGCAAAGAAAAAGCAACCTCTTAATCTAGATATATTACCATGATGATGCATGCACGTGCACGGTTGTGGCATGAACACCAAAACAGAAAGATATGGACACAAGATGTGTGCAAATGTATTTAGTTTCCTATCCATGTGGACATGATTTAAGTGGGGGGGACCTAACCTCCTCTAGGGGGGTCCGGGGGGCATGCTCCCCCGGGAAGATTTGTTTTAAATGTTGAAGTTAAAAGCATCAATCTGGTGCACTTTGAGAGCAACATTAGGAGATCTATGGATACATCTCTCAACACCCATATGACACAGAACTGAAAGCAGATTTACTTTTTCTTTATGGACATTTTACAAATCACTCCCCTTTCAAACTGTATTCTTGTTTATTAATAACAACTTTTTATTGTCATATAGTATTTTATACCTGTTTACTTTATTATCTTATTTTTTTTATAATAATGATCATATAAAGATGTGCCTTTAGTTGGAGAACTGGTTGGAGAAAAAGCTTCTTATATTCGTTAGCATAGCTAGCTAACCAGATGCTAATAACAACAAAGTTATTGACTGTATGATCAGAATGACAGTCATGAACAGATCGCCACTGGGCTTACAACTAAAGACACAGACACGCAAAAACTGCGGCATGTGTACGGCTCCTTATGGGTAGGCTACTGTAATTTTTGGAAGTGCCGGAGCCGCGTTCTGGTGCTCTCCGTCAGAACTACACCCCTGTCAGACGAGACACATACCACGTGATGACACGTTAGGCTCGTGTTGTGTTCAAGGACCCTGACCGTGGCCAGGAAAAACAGGCACTCGCTTGTTTAATTTTGTTGCGGTCTAGATTTCTTTCATTTTTTTCTTTTTTGCGTGTGTTTATAAATTACCTCGAGGGCCGTACCAAATGGTCTCGCGGGCCGTATACGGCCCGGGGGCCGGAAGTTCCCCACCCCTGCATTAAACGCATTACTAATTTGCACCATGTATAAAATAGATATATATTTTCACTTTAGGCAGTTGTGGTGATTGAACAACATTTAAAAGTCTAATGTTTCTTAGAGCCTTTATTCCATTAAAAAAAGGATTTTAAGTATTGTGAGTTTTGCCATCTTAGTGTAATGTATGTTCCATAATGACATACTTTCAATGATTATGGTAGACATGTATAACACAAAATGTATAGACAAAACTATGCTGTACACACAATGATGTATGTCTGGACTTGCTTTTTGTTTCTAAATGAGTATTTTCATTTGAAATGTTGATGTAAACTTGTTAGTCATATATTCATCGGCAGGCTGTGTGTCATTAGCAGGGTTCTTGAATAAAGTAGGACAAATGTTTTCCAAGACAAAACAAATCTGTTGCGTTTAAAGAGGTTATTTATATCCAGTGGTGCTGGGAAGTCAGCTTTGAGCTGTCGTGTTTTCACATCTCAAGGTGTGGAAATCTCTGGAAAGATTGTGAATTGCTCGGGGTATTCTCTTTTAATCTTCTGACAAGTTTCAGTAGTGGCGATAAAACAGAATGTATCTCTCAATTTAACATTTAGTGAAGTATTATAAGCCGAATTCTGGAGTGAAACACCGTGCTTCTGAGAATCAATTATTTGATGTAATAACAGGCAAGACTGTTGCTAAACTAAAATATTAAAAGTTAATGACTTTGTGCACTATTGAATTTAAGATTCAAAAGCCGCAGCAACTACAAGATATTACCAGACTTTCATCAACATTAAACTCTATTAAGTTTAAGTTACACATTTTGATAATTAGGAAGTATATTAAGGACTAATTAATACATATTTCCTTCAAGAAAGTAAACTATTTAGAAAGTAAACATGGTATGAAAAGCTATGCAAATCTCGGTGCTGTTTGATGTTTTCCCTTTCACCACAATACAAAAGGATTTAAGGAGGTGTGGATATTTGTGCTGCAACTCCCTGAGGACAAGATTTCTTCAGCAAGATGACAACAATACAGCAGCCTCAAAAACAAAAGGCAACGTGGGAGGGCCTCTTGTGGGATGAGCAGCTCCGAAAAGTTGAATACTGTTATATTGAATTGTTTCTTGGCTGTTTTTAGATTACAAACAAGAAGAATGACCACAACTTGTCTTTTTCTGAAAACGCTGCAGTAAAAAAGGACAGACATCCGAACCGCGCCATAAAAAGAATCAGGAAGGAACACACACACACACACACACACACACACACACACACACACACACACACACACACACACACACACACACACACACACACACACAGTCTGTACCACACACGCCTACAGCATATAATATATATCAGGCTACAGCCATGTGTATTTTATTATGTGAAGCACTAAATGGTTTTAGAAAAATATCGACTCTTTGTTTGTAGATATCTACTAAACTAAGCATACAAATAAAGAGAGTAATGTAGGCCTGTTATACGGAGTGATATATTATACACACTGCTCTGCTTTCTGCACGGACCTCACAGCTGTTCTCGGGTCACTACCGGCGGACCGAGGAGTCGAGATAAGAGAAATGAGAAACCTGTGTATCGCTCACTGATTGGACGTCGCAGCGCATACACTGATCTGATGCTTCTTGACATGAGAGCAGTTTACCAGTGGAGTGAAGAAAACGCATGAACCTCACGGGAGTCATTCCTTAGTATAATCAGTGTTTTGTTTCAATTAATGTATCATTTAATTACAAACATGTGATATATCTGAACAAAAAAGTGGACAAAAATCATTTTATTCATGTATTGGAAACATTTTCATCATCGCTTTTATCGTTTTACATTTTCATTTGTCATTTCCATTCAGCCACAGCTGAGGCATGAATTCTTTGATTTCACTCGGTTTAAAATCCCTGCCTCGAGCCTGCAGCTGGCACATTTGAAAGACACGGCGGAAGAAAAACAACACACGTGTAAGTGCCTTACTTAATGTTATTGGTATGCCTACAACGATACCGTTACGATAATGCAACATCTGTTCACATTTATTTAACCCACAACTCATATTTCTGTTATTGAACGCTTTATATTTTCTCAACAATGTTCATGTGAAATGCCCAACTAAAGGCAAGATTTGCAACGTGCGTATAGGCCTACTAGTACACACATAGCATTCGTTATTTATCGGACATAGTTCGGTTAGAAACCACGTGTTCTCATTCATAACACTCCGTTCGATGGGATGCGCCTCAACCATAGACTGTGGCCTCAACGCGTATGCAAACAGAAGCATCAATCTCATTACGCCAATCCTGATTGGCTGGTGATCTTGACGTCTGCGTCAGGGAATCCACCCACCCTTTAAGTAGCTTGCGCAGCGTCATTCAAACACCTCTTCTCGCTTCAGAGCACATCTCGAATATCAGTAGCCGGGCTAGCTTAACGGTCCACAGACTGAACCCAAGCTAACATTCGGTCGACGGGCGCTTGCCGGTTACTTTTTTTGCTTTGCAGAAGAATTGAACAAATATTAACACACCAGTTAATATTGTAATCTACCCCGCTGTTTTTCTTTCGAAATAACGGTAAGGTTTGATTTTCTTCAAACAGTAACATACCTGTTGCTAGTTTATCCCTCCGCGCCGACACCACGGCGAGCGGGGACGGACTCTTCTCTCCCTCACACCAGAGGAGACGGAGATAAGAAAGTTATTAACACACCAGTTAATCTTTTTTAAAGAAAAATCTACCCCGTCGATTTTTCCTTTCGGAATAACGATAAGGTTGGATTTTTTTCTTCCGGTAACATAACTGTTACTAGCTTGTCCCTCCGCGCCGACACCCCAGCAAACGAGGATGGACCCTTCTCTCCCTCACACCAGAGGAGTCGGAGGCTCGGCTCTGCGGCTGCGGGTTTAAGATCTCGGGCACGGACTCACACCAGGTCTGCTCGTCCTGCCTTGGGCTGGAACACGCCCAGGAAGCTATCGATACCCCTGGTTCGTGCGGGCATTGTGCCCGCTTCACCATCAAGAGCCTCCGCCGACGGCTAGCGCGCCAAGCTAGCCTGTCGGGACGGGACTCCTTCAGGTCCGTTGGTTCGCCGGCCGGCAATCGGGACATGGTGGCGACCGCCGCGGAGATTGAGCCCCACCACATAAAGACGTAACTAAGGTACCATCATTCATTTGGCAGTCACAATCTATTTGTAATAAATAATTCAATATTCAATTCAACAATGAAGCTGTCATTTCTATGCGGCATTATGTGAGTGAAATGTTAATGGCTTAAGGTTTCCTTTTGCTGATGTATATAAAATATTTCTCCTTAAACAGGGACGGAGGCCCAAACCAGAGCCCTCGTTAAACACAGGAATGAGAATGAGCACATACACAGGAAAGAGATACACTGCCAAGAAGGCCTGGGGGTGAGCTACAGTTTTTTGACAATAGTTTTGCTGCATGGTATGATAATCAATGTAACCACTACTGTGAATGAACCTGAGTGTGTCATGGAATTATTATGCATGAAGCATATTGTCAGGAGTAATCACACTTTGCATGCCGGGATGCTTTAAGTTTACATATTGTTTACTCCACAGAGAGGTTCTGCAGAAGATGGGGTTGGAGGAGTTGCTCAGTTCCACCCAACTCTCAAACAAGTGGGACAACCTCAAAAGACAATATAAGGTGAGATATTGTATTTCTAGATACATACAATGCAGCTATTTCTATTGTGTCT